CCAGCGAGCCCCGCACAAGCGGCCCGGGGCAGCCCCCGGGCTGGGGCACTGCACGGAGCAGGGCTGGCTCCCCTGAAAGAACAAACAAAAACCCTCGCATCACCCGAGGCAGCGCTTCCAAGCTGGCTCCGTGGGGACGTGGCCGCCCATGCCCCAGCCCCAGTGCGGGGTTACTTAGGCAGGAGCTGCGGGATCAGGAAATCACTGTGCACTGAATAATAACCAGGGGAAAGGATGAAAAATACCTCAGGCTCTGCTAGGAGTTAGCAGGAAACGCACGAAATAGGATTTGTCCTGAAACAATCCGCCTAACGCGTAGGAGAGCGAGGCTGGAAATACACCTCGGAGCAGGCTGCTGAGTGCGGAGCACGCTGACAAAAAGCAGCAAACCTCGGCGACAGGCACAAAGCAGCGTGGATTTGAGCGTTATACAAGTAAGAGGATCGGGGGAAAGGGCTATGCAATTTTAGCTGTGCAAACCCTGGCATCCCGGGACAGGAAGAAGGCAATTTAAGCCTGGAAACTTGTGTTCTGCTGCAAACATTTTAGGCACAGTCCGCAAAAGCATTTAAGTGACCCAGGAACTGAAGTCTCCACTTCAGGCATGAGTTGGCTGCTCTGGTTTGGGGTCATCTCTAAAAGAGGGATAAGAATTCCTGAATCATCTTTATTTATTTATTTATTGTTTTAGTTTCCCCCTTTGGCATTTTTTTCCATAGTACCAAACAATGTCAGCAAGCGTCGGGGGAGTTTAGGACTCATATAAGTGTTGTGGCTGCAGGCCGAAACTCGTGCGTCGCCTCGTTCTGCTAAGTAGGGCTGTATTTTAAAACGCAGCTTTAATACATCATGTGGTAAAGGACAAGAAAGAAAACAAATTGTTGTGTAATCTCCTTTATATATATTTGTCCTTGCAAATAAACCAGCTTGCAGGAGAAGTGTGTTTATTCTGAAATGTTCTCACAATTAGTCTCTGCTTTGAATGCAAACTCCGGATGCTGCGAAGTTAGTTATCTGCGGAGCTATCACCAACAACAGAAAACAAGGAAAGGAGCAAAACGTTTTCCAGCTGCCAGGGTCAGCTTGCAGATTCTGGGAAGACGGCGCTAAAGGAAACGTTCACTTACCTGCCCCGGCTCTGCAGCCTCACACCTGGAGCCTGCGTCCCGCTGCCTGCCCCGACCCGGCGCTCTCTTCCGCAGAAAGCGGCTGTTCTCCATTTTCCGCATCCCTAGCAAAAGCTGAATCTAAAAAAAGAAGTTGTAAGTTTTTTTTTTTATAAAACGAAGCGTAGTTTTAGCACAGAAGGCCGGTATACGTGGGAGCCCGCGAGCGGGGCGCCGGGACCGGCCACCTGCGGCCGCCCCTTTGCAGCCCCGCGGCTCCTGCGGGAGGGAGCAGCCTCTGTCCCGGCTCGGCGCGATCTCTCCTCACACCAGCTCTGATCCCCGCTGCTGATGCTCTCTTGCATTACGATAGTTCCTTTAGGAAGGCTGGCTCGCATTAAAAACATCTACTCGTTTAGTTAATTTGGAAATACATTTCTCCATTTTCCCTCTTCTCTAGACTTGCTGGTTTTAATCTCCCAAGCAGTCATTGGGGAAGAAGGGTGGGGGAGGAGCAGCATTTCTATAAAGAGTTTAACCAAAGCACATTAAATATTTTCCCAACATCACCAAATAAACAACAATCCTCTAGCTCCCTATAAACTATTTAAAGCATGTCATATCTTCTCTTCTGCTCTTGCCAATGTACTTTTAATTTATAAGCCGGTTAGAGCAAGGGCCTGTCTTTTTGTATATATTTGCAAAATGTCTGGCACTCTTTCAGTCAGTTACAGCTCAGCAAACACTTAAACCTGCATTTAGCTTTCGTATCATAGGTAGTTACTTTGATTTTTTTTCTTCACTTTTGTAAAGCTACTGCTCGTGAAAGTGCTGCTTGTAAATGATCTGAGCAGTCTCTGAAAGGATTCAGCAGAGGAGACCCCTTTGGATGTTCTAGACATGTAGCAAAAATGCAGGGGAAAATTAAACTGAACTCTCAGGCAGTGGAAATCGGTCCAAAAGAAAATGGGGAAAACCTTCTCAGGGAGAACATTTTTAATTCGCTAGAAAATAAACTTCTGCTCCTAGATGATGAGAGTTATTATCAATAGAGGATGTGCTGTACCAAACAAACCTCCATTAGGCCAGGAAGGATAAAACAAGTTAGACAGCCTTTAAAAAAAAATGTCTGTGATTCCCGAGATATCAACCATGTCTGTTTCTGTAGTGCTGTCAAGTAAACCTGAGTTATGGATGCTCTAAAAGAAGCCAGCAAGGAGAAAATTAGCAAGAGAGAATAGAAGACATTACGTATAGATACTTTAACAGAAAACATTTTCTTCTCAGGCTCTTAAACGACTGCCCTGTACCATGGCCTGAGTTACTTGTTCTCCCCAAACAATTTTGGAGAAGAGAAAGTCCTGTAAACGTGGTAAAAATGTGGTCGTTAGAGCATGTAATTGCGCGGCAGACACTTTTTATGGAGCTTTTTACTCTTTCTGCACTGTAGCGTCCATCATTTTCACCGCAAGAGCCTTAATGTCTGCAACGGACCTCCTAAAGTTACCAATGCATAAAGGTGGGAGCTGAACGACCTGAACTTCGCGTTTGAAAACGTTTTCTGGCATGATTATCCATCACTTGTCATCCGAGTGAACAGGTAGAAGACAACTGCTTGATTTAATAAGGTATCTGTGTATCGCCCTTTAGCAAAGGTGACCTGTGAAGTTCTGCAACAGGCAAAAACAGTTGCCTGGGTGAGCGAGACCGGCTGACGAGGGAGCCCGGGGACAGGACAGCAAGCCCGGGGAGGAAAGCACTTCTTCCTCTCATCCACGCAAAATAAACAAATGCCTTTTTTTTTCTTTTAAGCAAGACATCGATCGAATCCAAGTGCCTGCTCAGGAAATGCGCGCTCAGCAGTGCTGTCCTTGCATTTTTCTCAGCACGAAGTGCACGCAAAGGGCGCCCTCCCAGCCGGGCCGAGGGCAGGGGACAGCAAGCCCGGGGAGGAAAGCACTTCTTCCTCTCATCCACGCAAAATAAACAAATGCCTTTTTTTTTCTTTTAAGCAAGACATCGATCGAATCCAAGTGCCTGCTCAGGAAATGCGCGCTCAGCAGTGCTGTCCTTGCATTTTTCTCAGCACGAAGTGCACGCAAAGGGCGCCCTCCCAGCCGGGCCGAGGGCAGGA